GGCACTAACAAACTGGAAATAATGAGTTAGAGTAAATGGGAAGCACTTATGTAATAATACACGGGAAATCTGTTAGTATATAGTGAAAGAGTCCTTGTTTTTTAACAAGTATTTTTTGTTAACACCAACCAAATCCTCGCATGTGGCCCTAGTGGCCAGTCTCTGAAACTACACACGACCTAAGCCGCTCATCTGGGAGAATCTGAAAGATCTGTGGCTAATCTACCTTAATTCTTGATCCCAAATGAAGGGACATCACATACCACAGCATACAGGGAAATTAGATACTAGTTCTGAATTAGTATGAAAAGAAGTTTAAAGACAGCAGAAAGGAACAGCATTTTATTTCTGTAAGGGAGTCTGAGAACTGCCCAAGAATTACAGCCAAGTTCATTAATGAGGTAGATCTGATTGGCATTTACACCTTAAATAATATCAATTCTAACCATCAGATGAATTGCTTAGTTGCTGTGGTTAAGAAAATTGTACAAAATTAAGCAAATTGTTTAAAAGAAACATCTAAAATGTAAAAGTATTAAAAGAAATATAGAAGGTAGAATAAATGTCACAACTTAGTGCTATTTCTTTTTTCTTTCTTTTTTTTTTTTTAAAGATTTTATTTATTTATTTGACAGAGAGAAATCACAACTAGGCAGAGAGGCAGGCAGAGAGAGAGGAGGAAGCAGGCTCCCTGCTGAGCAGAAAGCCCGATGTGGAGCTTGAACCCAGGACCTGGGATCATGACCTGAGCCGAAGGCAGCGGCTTAACCCACTGAGCCACCCAGGCGCCCCCCCTTTTTTTTTTTTTTAATATTTTATTTATTTGACAGAGAGAGATCACAAGTAGACAGAGAGGCAAGCAGAGAGAGGGAGGGAAGCAGGCTCCCTGCCAAGCAGAGAGCCCGATGCAGGACTCGATCCCAGGACCCTGAGATCATGACCTGAGCCGAAGGCAGCGGCTTAACCCACTGAGCCACCCAGGCGCCCCCTTAGTGCTATTTCTAATGAAGTATTTCCTTTTTTTTTTTTTTAAGATTTTATTTATTTGACAGACAGAGATCACAAGTAGGCAGAGAGGCAGGCGGGGAGTGGGGGGAGTAGGCGCCCTGCTGAGCAAAGAGCCTGTGAGGGGCTCAATCCCAGGACCCCAGGATTATGACCTGAACCGAAGGTAGAGGCTTAACCCACTGAGCCACCCAGGTGCCCCTCTAATGAAGTATTTCATATTTTATTTCTGAATGTGAGCAAAGCAATCACAAATGAAGATCAGAAGCAATTCTAAAGATTGGGCCTGGCTACTTGCAGTCAGCTCTATTATAAAGAATAGATTCTGTTGAAATACACAATCTTACAGGAAGATTCTCAATGAGAATTTCATTGCAGCTGTCAAAGGTATGTATCCGTAGTTCAGAGAACAGAGAAAACAGAATCCAGGAGGCCACTCACTGTGACTTTGCACATATTAGCAGTGCTCTCGGCCTCAATTTCATCATCCATAAAACCAAGGGGGTTAACAGAAGACCTCTAAAATCCCAGTTGTAGAAATCTCATCTTCTGAAATTTACATATAATGATTGCTGTTGGAAACTCCATTCCCATCAACCTTAATGTCAGGGACAATGGATAAAGTAGGAGATGACCACTGGCTCCCTTGGGCAACCTGGCCTTTCAAAACAAAGACCAAAATCCACTTTCTAAAACTCTATCACTTTTCTCCATTCTCCCTCACCTTTAAGCTCCTTAGGCCAATGGTTAGTCCCTTAGTCCCTCTGGAACCAGCCTCAGAGCATCTTGTCTAGCCACCTTGTTTTACAGATGAGAAATGAACCAGAGAGGGTAAGTGACTTGCCTGGAATACCAGAGCTAGTCAACAACAAAGCCAGGACAAGAAACCAAGTCTGCTGTTCCTGATGCCAGTCTTCTTTCCCCTAAGTCATACCACCCACTTGTCTTTCACTGCTGACAAGAAGCAAAACAAAAGCATAGGAATAGGGGTGGGAGAGCAACTATTTAGATGATACCAGTGAGAAGCAGAAGTTATGGAACTGGAGGGGATTATGCAAAATGAAATAAGTCAAGCAGAGAAAGACAATTATATGGTTTCACTTCTATGTCGAACATAAGGAATAGCATGGAGGTCATTAGAAGGAAAGGAAAAATGAAGGGGGGGAAATCAGAGGGAAAGATGAACCATGAGAGACTATGAACTCCGGGAAACAAACTGAGGGTTTCAGAGGGGAGGGGATGGGGGGATGGGTTAGCCCGGTGATGGGTATGAAGGAGGGCACGTACTGCATGGAGCACTGAGTGTTATACGTAAACAATGAATCATGGAAAACTACATCTAAAGCTAACGAAGTGCTGTATGGTGACTAACATTAAGAAAAGAAAAAAAAAGAAATAGAAGTTATTTTATTTCAAAAATGTAAATATGGATGTGAAGGCATCATGCTCCCTGATTTCAAACTATATTACAAAGCTATAGTAATTAAAACAGTATGGAATTGGCATAAAAACAGACAACATAGATCAATAGAACAGAATAGAAAGCCCAGAAATAAACCCTTGCATTTATGATCCATGAATTTACAACAAAGGAGGCAAGAATACACAGTGGGGAAAAGATAGTCTCTTCAATAAATGGTGTTGGGAAAACTGAAGAACCACATGGAAAAGAATGAAACTAGACCACTATCTTACACCATACACAAAAATTAACTCAAAATGGATTAAAAACTTGAATATAAGACCAGAAGCCATGAAACTTAGAAGAAAACATAGGCAATAAGCTTCCTGACATCACTCTTGGCTATATTTTTTTTAGATCTGACTCCAATGGCAATGGCAATAAAAACCAAAATAAACAAATGAAATTGTATCAAACTAAAAAGCTTCTGTACAGCGAAGGAAACCATCAACAAAATAAAAAGGCAACCTACTGAATGGGAGAAGATATTCACAAATCACTAATCTGGTAAAGGGTTAAATATCCAAATTATAAAAAGAACTGTATAACTCAATCTAATTTAAAATCTAATTTAAAAATGGGCAGAGAACCTAAACAGATACTTTTCTAAAGACATACAGATGGCCCACGGGCACATGAAAAGATGCTCTCAGCATCAGTAACTACCAGAGAAATGTATCTCAAAACCATGAGATATATCATCTCACATCTGTCAGGATGGCTATTAACAAAAAGATAAGAAATAACAAGTATTGGTGAGGATGTAGAGAAAAGGGAACTATTGTGTACTATTGTGAATATAAATTGGTGCAGCCATAATGGAAGACAGTATGGCGGGCCCTCAAAAAACTAAAAACGTAACTACAATGTGGCCCAGCAAGTCTACTTCCAGGTATTTATCTGAAGAAGATGAAAACACTAATTCAAAAAGGCATATGCACCCCTATGTTCACTGCAGCATTATTCACAATAGCCAAAACAAGGAAACAACCAAAGTGCCCATTGATGGATGTGCAGATACAGAAGACGTACACAACTCCCCTCCACCCTGACACACACACAAAAGGATATGACTTCAGCCACGAAAAAGAATGGAATCTTGCTATCTGTGACATGGATGGACCCTGTGGTATTACGCTAAGTGAAATAAGTCAGAGAAAGACAAATGTATGATTTCACTTATATGTAGAATCTAAAACACAAAAGAAGAAACAACAAAACTCAGATCAGAGAACAGATTGGTGGTTGCCAGAGCGCAGGGGAGCAGGGAGGGTGGGCAAGACAGAAAAAGGGGTCATAAAATAAGTCACATCATGGGATGTAATGTTCAACAGGGTGACTACAGTCAATAACACCGAGTTGCATGTTACTTTAATTTTATATGGTGACGGGGAAAACTAGACTCATTGTGATCATTTTGTAGTGTATATAAATATCAAGTCATTGTGTTGTACACCTGAAGCCAAAACGATGTTATATGTCACCTACACCTCAACAACAAATAGGGATGTGATACTAAATGTTAATCCCTGAAAAGATTAGTTTAGCAAGTGCATGACAGACTCAATCAACCACATATTAATAATCACTGCCCAAGGCCTTTGAAGTTAAAGAAAGCTGTCAGGCTGAGGGAAGAGGAGGCGGAATGCTTTAGATAACATGAAAGATTAAGACAAGGCTATTGGAAAGTGACTAAATCCCCTGCACCAAGGAAAATCAATCCAAGGAGCTAAGGTACAGAGACAAAGATAGTATAATTTGACCTAGAGTTAACTGCAACTTAAGTCAACATAATGCCATATACGTGGGTATTATACATATTTTCATTATGTTCTAGTGACAAGAATTCAGAAAAAGTGATGGGTTGTGCCATAGTAAGACTAATACAAGCATCACCTCTTATCTGACTCTGATTTTGACATTTGTGACCGGTCTCATTAATGATAAAAGTACAAAAACAGTTCACATTCATTTTGCTGTTATCAAGAAGACTGGTTGGTTAAGATTCAAAGGAACTGCTGGCATGTGAATTCAATGAAACTATAATTATCTTCACAGGGAAACCACTGAAAACGCAGAAATACAAACACGGATCTTAAAAATATCTTTAAAAACTAAGAGCTAAAAGGCAAGATTGATTCCATTCGTAAGACGATTATGAGAAAGCAATATATATAAGTAATTGGCCTTCAAAGAATAAGTGGCCTCTGTTTCTAGCTAATGAGATTTCATTTAAAATTGTTAACTGGGAGTAATGAAAGCAGCACAGGAACCAATACCAACAGCAAATATTCAGTTTTTCTGAGGAGTATGATAAGAATTTGTCCTTCTTACACTGATACAAAGAACTCTGAAAAATCATACAGTAACAAAGCCAAGCCTAGATCCTATAATATTAAAATGATAAACAGGATATAATACACTAAACAAAAACTCAGAAACCAATTAAAATAAATTAAAAATAAGAAATACATTTACATTGAAAAAAATGATAAGCATAGGATATCCTGAGTTTTCTTTATAAAATTATAAAAAGAACACAAAAAGTAATATCCATCTGAAAGGCTGTCATAATGATTAAATAACATACATAAAATTCATAAGAGTGTATGGTACACGGTAAAAGCTTAAAAAATGGCAGCTATCATTATTATAACCAGAAGGAAGAATAACTTCATTAATAAGAGCTTTCAAACTGGACTCATCACCACCTCCTCCCTGCTTCCCCTTCATTTTGAGCACACGAATATGATCACTATTAGCCAGTTAGATAGCTTTTGGCCAGATCGTGACCAGATCTCACTTGGAAACCAAGATGACAGAAAAAGAAGAGTACCGGAGGAGACACTGGCTAGCAAAAAACATATTCTGACATTATTTATAGGCAGTACTCATAAGGCGAGGGCTCACTCACAGTGACACGAAGGTAAGGAGTCAAAGAAAATCAAGGCAATTTAGAAGTCTTAAAGATGAAAGGAAATTGCTGTGACATGAAGCCCTCATGAAAAGTAAAAATATTTCCAGAGAGAGCTATAAGATTCTTTGCTAGATCCATTTTGATTTAATTTGAAAACAATTTAAGACTCATCATCTTTTCGCCTGCCAACTAAGAGTAAGTATACTTATTTTCATCTCAGTTTATCTCTAGGAGGATCTTGATTTCTTTTTCTCTGTTTTATGAAGCATTTAATTCCTTTCTGATCCCACTATGGAATTTATATTTTAATGATTCTACTTTTTTCCCCACTAAAGTCAGGGATCATTCCCTGTACTCAACTAACCCTAAAAATAAAGTGACAAAAAAAGAAAAGAAAGTTACTTCAAGTCTGGGAGCATATTCTTGGGAAGGACATTTAAGGCTACATGTAGGAAAGGGTAAAGCATGAGGAAGATCCCATAGGGGAAGGTGCAAATTAAAGGCTACATGTACTGGCAGAACAGAGCTCCTAAAGGACAGTGGATGAAAATGTAATCAAATGGCTTCTCTTCTCTACTCCTTAATGGAAGTACAGTCTGTGACTGAGCAATCTCTTAACAAGGGTTCTGAAAGTTTCCAGGTGGCTTATTAACAGATTTACCTATTTATTCCCAAGTTTAGAATTTGCTTCTTTTCAGACATTCCAAGAGTCAAACTGAGAAAATTTCTATTTCTCAGGAAAACATTAATAAATAAGAGCTTGGATTTTATTGCCTTTGCCCACTCTACTGACACTGTTCTTTCCTTCTTTAAAAACAACCCAAATATACCCCTCCCTGAACTATGTATTGATCTTAGTGAAATAAAGGAACTCTTTTTGAATTTTCCTGTAAAGTGGCTCATAAAAATAGGCCTAGAGACAGTGACTTAAAACCAGACAAACCCAGATCTCCGATCCCATCAGTTTCTCCATCCTACAAGCACACTTAAGGCTCGAAAAGAAAAATTAATGCCCAAACAGCTGGTAAAGCGCATAGACACAGAAACATTTTCTATCCTGGTCATACCAGCTATCACATAAGATACTGTCGAAGTCTTCAACTTACCATTCACTTAGAAAGGGTTCTAACCTTTTAAAATCACATACTAATTAATTAACATCAGCAACATTATGTCAGGGATCTCGGACCACACATATAATGGCTTCTTTGTCAAGTAAGCAAAGAAACTATGTTATTTTGTTTGCCTGGAAGCTCACATCTGTTCCACTGAAATGCAAATGTCTTGGATCCCTACTAAAGAGTGTGGATGTCCACATAAATGATATCTCTGTTACAGAGAAAGAAGCGGCTGCTGCACTTGCTGGAATGTCTTCGGCTTTGTATCAGATGCTCCCGTTTGGTTACAACCAGGCTTCCAGTCTGCCCAATGCCAAACTTCATGCTTTAGCAAGGAGAGAAAAGTCTAGATGCCAGAAACACACCAGACCTCTCAGATAAAGGGGTAGAAGCATGCTTCCACTGGACTAAGATTGGTCCTCTTTGTTAGCACCAAACTCTCATTATTTAGTTCTTCACAGACTAAATTACAGCTTCTCTCAGAGAAGAGGACCTAGATAATGAAAAGGAATTAAAGTAGATATTAAGGTAGAAATTCCAAGGCCAAATATCCCAAGGTCAGGCAAAGCAGCATCTGAGGCCAAAACAAGAAAGTGGTGGAATTCAATGGGCAGCACTCTGGGGTACTTGGGCTTCCCCAGTCTTTGGCCTCACGGCCCTACCTGTACCCCAATCATGGGCACCACCTCCTCAATCCACAGCAAGTCCAGTGGAGCTGAGGGTCGAGTTTGTCGGTGGTGAATTCGGCGCAGACGCAGAAGGTACAGGATGATGGCCAATAGCACCACCAGGATGCAGGCGAAGAAGAGATAGTGGTTGTAGACAAAGGAGAGGCGGAACCAGCTGCCATGGGCCTGCCGGACACCTTCTTGCCGTAGATCCCTAGGAAGAGTAGGAAGGTGGAAAGTCATGTTAATTTCAAAGAGAGATAGCTATGCTGATTTAAAAGGCCAGTGGGGGGCACCTGGGTGGCTCAGTGGGTTAAAGCCTCTGCCTTCGGCTCAGGTCATGGTCCCAGGGTTCTGGGATCGAGCCCCACATCGGGATCTCTGCTCAGCGGGAAACCTGCTTCCTCCTCTCTCTCTGCCTGCCTCTCTGCCTACTTGCGATCTCTATCTGTCAAATAAATAAATAAAATCTTTAAAAAAAAAAAAAAACTTTAAAAGGCCAGTGGTATCCCACTTTATGCTATTCGTGTAAATATGCCAGGATACTAGCTCCACAGAGCAAGCAAAGCTAAAGAATGTCTCCAGCCTGAGGACTGCTTTGTGGTTCCTCCTGCACTTTTCTTTGCCAGGACCTACAGGAGGAGGGAGCATCAAAGGCCTACATCCTCCGGGATCTGGTGAAAAAATTAGAAGGCAAAAAAAATGAATAGTAAAGAGAAGTCAGAGAGACAGGCAGAGAGAGAGAGGAGGAAGCAGGCTCCCTGCTGAGCAGAGAGCCCAACGCAGGGCTCGATCCCAGGACCCTGAGATCATGACCTGAGATCATGACCTGAGCCAAAGGCAGAGGCTTAACCCACTGAGCCACCCAGGCGCCCCTCTATAACCTTAGTCTCAACAGTGACCCCATACCATTCCCTAAACACATGCATCCAGTTTGTAAATACAGTACTAACAAGAACAGGGCGGCCCCTAAATTCAATCAAGACATCAGAATGCATCTAAATCTTTAAAACAAAGTTGACTGTGCTTCCTGAGGGGTTAGGCTCTGTCTAGAGAAAGCTGTCACCTGGTCAGTAGTACTGTAGTCTGGAAAAAAGTAAGGAGACCTATAAGCCAAAGGGCAGCAGACTGTGTGCTTAAGAACCGAAGCCACCCTTTAGCCTAGACACCAGGTCCATTTTTGTTTTGTTTGACCTGCAGTGTTTTTTTAAAATGTCAATCTCCAAACTGAAAAGCCTGCCTGTAAAATGTGGACTCTGGCTTGCCCTGAAAGATGAGAACTGGCAGATGCTGAGACAGCTATGCATGGCGGTCATCAGCCCTCCATCTGGATAACATACTCTCTAGCTCCCCACTTCTCTCACCCCTCTCTGCCACCTGCCTTCTGAGGTTAGAGAAACAGGCAGCAAAGATTAAAAATTCATTTTAGTTTATCTGAAATAATCCAAGAGGAAAGAGAACCTAAAAATTATCCTATATATCTTAAGGTACATAGAGCAAGACATCAGACAATCACGGCTTGATGACAGTGCCCCCTGAAGGGATTCTCATGTGCTTTGTTCTCATTCTGGCCCACCAAAAAGCCTTCTAAGTCAATGACATGATCTCTAGAGTGACTCTACCGATTAGGAAAGACTGCCCTACACACACAGACTTACTCAGTTCTCTAGTCCAATATTTTCTGTAGCAACTGAAGAATGGTATTTTAGTTGATCACATGCTATCTTAGAACTGGTTAAATAAAAGCTCAATCCTAAAGACTGATTTATTATGGATAAACAAATAAAACTGAATTCCTGAAATTGAAAAGCTAAAGAACAGACTGTGGATTAAATTTTCAACCTTCTTTCTGTTTCAACATGCCTGGGTAGTAATAATAGTTCACAGTGTAGTATAGTAATAAAGGGAGTTAGTTTGGACGCTTTTTTGAGGGAGAGAGGTCACTTACAAAACCTATTCTGAGACACCAACCAACATCCTCTGATCTCAAGATGCCAGTTCAGTCCACTTTACCTGAGTGGTAAGAATCGTGTTTTATACAGAATGGCTCCCAGTGTCCACTGAACCTCTCGGTCATATACCAGCTGGGCTGTCTGCAGGTGCGGGTAGTCATAGGGAAAATGGAATCCTTCATGAAGGACTTGGTACATCCAAGCCGATTTAAAACACTGGTATCTGTGTGACAAAAAAATATTTTTCTTGAAGAAGAAGGAAAAAAAGAATTCTAATGCTTTCTACATACTTCCACTGGATGTCAAAAAAAGACCTTTCTCTCTCCATTTCACCTTCCTCGCCTCTAGGTGGAGCCAAACCTGAGCCTACTTTATCTTGATGTTTACCACAAAGGCGAAGAATGCCTTTATGCAGTAATGATACTGTGACTGTGATTTTTTTTTTTTTTTTTTTTTTTAAGAGAGTGAGAGAGGGTGGTGGAGAGGCAGATGGAGAAGAGAGAGAAGCTCAAGCAGGCTCTGTGCCCAGCACCCGACGGGGGGCTCAGTCTCACAACCCTGAAATCACAACAGCCATGATCAAGAGTCAGATGCTTAACTGACCGAGCCACTCAGGTGCCCCCTTTTTCTTTTTGAGTCCTTATCTTCAAGGAGCCTCCTGAAGTATCTACAAGTCTACTTATATCATATCTGGGATGTGCTTCAAAAAACAAAAAAAATCCCAACTGTTTTAAGAGGGGAGTAGAAGGGTGGGAAAATAGATGCAACAAGATTGGGCAGAAGTTGGTAACTGTTGGTAGAGAAGCAGGGTGACAGGCACAAGGGAGTTCATGATACTGTTCTATTTTTGTTTATGTTCAAGATATTTTACAAATGTTTACAAAAATGGGAGGGCCGATGAGCCAAACTGGCAAAATACTGGCATTTGTTGAAATGGATGAGGTTTATATTACTTTTCTACCTTTCTGCATGTTCCATATTTTAATTAAAAAAAACCCACTACTTTAGATTTCAAGCCACTCATCGAGAACCTTTTAGTGACCCTGGTTTTCAGTGACTTCTCTAAACTAGGCTCACTGTTTTGGCCCCTATTGCTCAGGAAACCAAAAAAAAACCAAACAAACAAAAAAAAAACAAAAACAAAATTCTCCTTCAACATAAAATCCCATCTGTACTCTTACTTACTCTCTCCCTCATTATAATCTGCCATCTACACTTTCAGGCCACATCTAAGAGAAAAAAGGAAGCTACTTACTTGAGTCGATGTTCATCTGCGTGAGATGAAAAGAGGCCATTCTTGAATCTCTGGGTTAGTACTGACCAGGCCATGCCACAGTAATCCTGGAACAACCACACAGGAATGGTGTGACGTGAAATTAAAGCTAAACTCTGTAACTTCCCTACACTCACAGCTGCTCCATGTCTAAAGTTACTTGTGGGCTACTAGATGACAAAGGATAACAGAAGCGCCATCTTCATTCACAGGACACTGTGCAACACAAGTGCCAAAACCCAGGCTGCTGTGGGTCTCCTTTCTATTCCCCTCACCTCAGGTCCAATACAGAGATAGCCTGACACGGCTCCTGCTCTTCAGCTTCAGACAGGGGAAGAGGAGGACCAGGAAGAGCAACATCAAAGCCAAAGGGAGCCTCATTCTGCCCTCATTCAGTCTAACACATCAGACTAAAGTAGATGGTACAGAATGGTCAAAATTCTACCATTGGCCTGACTCCATGTTGTAGTTCTCCTCAAAGGAATCATTCCTTTGATTCCTTTTGCTCTGATCAGTAAACTAATATTTCCTGAATGTCTACTTTGTGCCAGGTGCTATTCTAGGTGCCAGGGAGATCTAGTATTGAACAAAACAGAAAAAACTTTCTGTCCTCATGAAGCTTACCTTCTAGTGGTGAGACAGCAACCAAATACATACATATACATGCAAGCATACATACAACATGCACATACACATACGTACAGAGTGTTAGATGACATAAGTGCTCACAGAAAAATTAAAGCAGGAAAGGGAAACAGGTAATATTGGGAAGGGCTGCAGTTCTGGACATGATTGCTAGGGAAGGAATAACTGGGAAACTAACGGTTGAGTCAAAGTGAAAGAGAGAGAACAAAATTATCTCTTTTACCTGGGAAAGAGAACATATTAAGCCACTAGCAACTTGGGCAAGCAATAACTTGAGCCCTTTGGTGTTCAAGGGAATAGAATCTGAAGAAGTTTTAAAATGAGAGAAAGATGCGGGCCATGGACATTTAGGGAGCCCTGGATGCTGGAAAGGAAAAGGAATATGAGTGTATTCCTGGAGGCTGGAGAAGAAAGAACAAATACAAACCAGGTTTTCCTCAATATTTCTCTCTTTAAAAAAAAAAAAAATTCTATTTATTTATTTGGGAGACAGAGAGCATGTTGGGGTGGGGCAGAGGGAGAGGGAGAAAGAGACTCCCCTGATAAGCAGGAAACCCAATGTGGAGCTTCGTTCCAGGACCCTAGAATCATGACCTGAGCTGAAGGCAGACGCTTAACCAACTAAGCCACCCAGGCGTCCCTCCTCAATATTTCTTAGGGACTGCCTTTAGGGAACAGAATACTACACATACTACAGATTTTTTTTTTTTAAAGATTTATTTATTTATTTCAGAGAGAGAGAGAGAGAAAGCACAAGTGGGAGGGGCAGGGGAGAGGGAGAGAGAATCTCATGACTCCGTGCTGAGCACAGAGCCTGACTCAGGGCTTGATCTCACGACCCAGAGATCAGGACCTGAGCTGAAACCAAGAGTTGGATGCTTAACTGACTGCCCCCCAGGCACCCCACAGATATTATTAAATTGCAAGTCTTCTATCCAGAGAACCCTAGAGAACTGTAACAAAGCAGAAAGGAAAGAATAAAAAATGTAAGGAAGGACAGATTTTTCCAGATCAGAAAGATAAGCAAAACTTCAGAAATGAATCTAAATTAAAGAAGGAGATTGGGCGCCTGTGTGGCTCAGCTGTTGAACATCACACTCCTGGTTTCGGCTCAGGTCATGATCTCGGGGTCATGGGATCAAGCCCCGCACTGGGCTCTGTGTTCATTGTGGAGTATGTTTGAGATTCTCTCCTTCTTCCTCCCCCTCTGCCCTTCCCCCAACTGTGCATGCACACATGCTCTCTCTCTCTCAAAGAAATAAAATCTTAAAAAAAAATTAAAGGAGCTATACCCTCCCTCTGCCCCTCCCCCCACTTACCTGCTCACTCTCTCTAAAATAAATAAGACTTTTTTTAAAAAGGAGGAGCTACAGAAAGCTAGCTAAACTTTTACCTATTCAGGTAACAATGATTTCAGCTTACAAGCGGCTAATGTCCTAGACATGCTCTAAATGAATTTTTATTTCTTCTGCATTTTAGTTTTAAATAATACTTCCACTGACATTGCTTTTCCCAACATCTTTCTAATATTCCAAGTGACCCTGTATACCATTCTGGCCTCCTAATGACTCCTACCAAGAAAATGAAAGTGCAGTTGCCCACCTGTGTGACATCATTTCCATAAGCCCATTACAACCAAGAATACCCAGTAAGGGGAAAAATATCTGGGGATGACACTTTTGGCCACAAACATTAAACAAGATTATTAGAAAACTAAAAGAAAAACTGTTAGCCACCACAACAATTTTGGACTTGGATGATAATTTGGGTGATCACGACATGTATGGAAACCCAAGCTTAACGAACTAGAAGAGAGTCCAGCATAACAGCTTCCTTAACTCCTGAGTCTACTTTCTCATCTATAAAATGAGGGCCCATAGGGCCCCTAGAAGAATCCAGTGAGATCAGGCATGCAGAGCTCTCTGCACATCTGGCACAAAGTTAGGCACCCAATCAATGGCTGTAGCTGGCACGAGTCATCTTTTATATAAGTAATTTACCTGGGCAGCCTTGGCAAATGTTGGCCCGTGATAGCGGCCACCGATGCGTAACACATCCTCAGTACAGTAAAAAAACTCAGAGAAACCGTAAAATTCGCTGTTGTTGAAGTCAATTGGTGACTGGTAGATGCCATTCAGGGAGGCCTGGCTGGTGTTGGAGCGAGCCAGCAGGGGGCTCAGCATCGCCCCGCAGGACGCCCAGTCTCCCCTTCCTCGGATGTGTAGCACCTGGCTGTTCCTCTCCACCACATCTGTGAGGCCCACGGGCAGGCAGGGATCCAGAAATGGACTGTCCGGACTCAGACCGATCTTCTGGCCCAGCAACCTGTCAGAATGACAAAAACACACAGGACACATCACTTACGTACACAATCTCTTCTAAGAAACGCTTAGTTTAAGAAATTTGGCCTAAGAATGTGCTTCACAGATTATCTTGTTGTTTTACATGGCATCCCTAGAAACAAGAATGGAGTTTTAGCAGCAGTCGTAACACATCAAAATTTACCATAAGCAAATTCAATTTAGTGGAAGAAAGGATGGAAGGATGGATGGATGGATGGAGGCAGGCAAGGGGGAGGGAGAGAAATATGGCAGTGATCAAATTTTGTTCAACCGTTCAGTCCACATGTACATCTCCCAGTGTAGAGTAAAACTGGAAATATTAATCTGGGGGTCTCCTTCTAGTCTTCATCCCCACTGGCCTCTTAAAAGTGTCAAGATCTCAGGGCACCTGGGTGGCTTAGTCGGTTGAGTGGCTGCCTTCAGCCCAGGTCACGATCTCGGAATCCCAGGATCAAGCCCCACATGGGGCTTCCTGCTCAGAGAAAAGACTGCTTCTCCCTCTGCCTGTTGCTTCCCCTGCTTATGCTCTATCTCTCTCTCACTCTTGCTCAATAAATCAATGAAATAAATCAATGAAATCTTAAAAAAAAAAAAAAAAAGTGTCAGGGTTTCATCCACCAAGTGCAGTTCTAATATCTAACAAAAGACCTGGGAGGAGGTGAAGAGGGAAGGCCCTGGAGAGGCTCCTGAGGAGGAGACCATATCAGTGGTGCAGTGACAACTGCTGGCAATAGGAAGGAGGACATGTCTGGCCCCCTTGCAGGGAGAGGAGGGGAGAGGCAGGTTTTCATCCCCACCGTGGCCGTCACATGGTTCTGGCTGTTTCAAGTCAGCACTTGTCCAGCAACAATATTCCCATTCCTAAGGGGATGAAATACAGATCTAGCCAAGAAGAGAAATCAAGTGAAGACCAAAAAATGTTGCCAACCACAGTTAATTATTCACCAGTTCCTAAAGAGACACCTGTTGAAGAGTGGACTTCCTGGGATAAAGATGCCCCCACAAGGGTAAAGACTGAAGGAGAGAGTGGAATGTGGCAACAGCACAAAATGCTTTGGGACTGGAACCTACTTTAAGGGTGTGACACCAACTATGAAAAAAAAAAAAAAAAAAAAAACAACCTCAGAAAATCATATTAAGAAGAAAGAACCAGAGGTGCCTGGGTGGCTCAGTCAGTTCAGCATCCAAATCTTGATCTCAGGTCATGACCTCAGGGTTGTGAGATTGAGCCCCAATTCAGGCTCCACCCTGGGCACGGGGCCTGCTCGAGATTCTCTATCTCCCTCTCCTCCTACTGCCACCCCTGCTCGCTCTTTAGCTCTCTCTTAGAAAGAAAGAAAGAAAGAAAGAAAGAGAGAGAGAGAGAGAAAAAGAAAGAAAGAAAGAAAGAGAAAAAGAAAAAGAAGAAGAGGAAGGAACCATTATGTCCTGACATCCCAGGAAACACAGGTTTCTCTAGATTAGCAGCAACACGAGTTGAAGAATAAATCTGCTGATCTAGGAACTTAGAAAATACCAGTGAATGGATGATGATGATGCAGCGTGGTTCAGAGCAGAAAAGAGCAAAGCGCAAAGGGCAGCAGAACAAGAGAGGAAGGCAATGGAAGAGGAAGCACAGCAGCTAACGAAATAGGAACACAACAAAACTGGTGTGAAACTCTCCTAGCTGTTCTCCAGATGCCGCGGTGCTGGCAGCCCAAACAACGGGAGTACAGATGTGGGAGTATTTTCAGAATGCAAACACACTGCCTGATTTTAATGCATTCATCAGTCCTCTGGGATAAGAGATTTCTCCCAAAATACCATGAACTCTTGGTAGTTGAGACTCACAAAAACAAAAAAGAATTATAAGACAGGATTTTCTTTAACATGGTCCCAATATAAGACAATTGCTGTGGAGAAGTTCCTACAAACAGGCTGTACCAGTACTTCTTCAAACTAGTGTTTCTAGCAAAACAAATGGGGGGTAAATAATTTTATGGTGAAAAAAACTCTGCCGTCTATTATGCTTCCTTCAGTGCACATAACGACAACAATTTTAAATTAAAAAAAATCTCACAACTATTTGTACATTACGGCCTAAATACTTCACGGGTACTCAAATGAGGAGCCTGTGATCTGTCCATGCTGCAGGGAAAATTGGCTATTCTGAATTTAATGAGAGAACAATGTAAAGGTTAAGTCTGACTACGTGTTTTTTATCTTTTACACACACTATGGACCTCACTTCCACATAAGATGCAACCCCATGTAATTCAACAAAAATGTCTTCCGTGCTGAGGGAACTTCTAAGAGCTATATCATACTGCATGCACATTGTAAATTAAGAACTTAATCTCACTGGGGTGGCCTGGGTGGCTCAGTTGGTTAAGCATCTGCCTTCGGCTCAGGTCATGATCCCAGGGCTCTGGGATTGAGCCCCACGTCAGGCTCCCTGCTCAGTGGGCAGCCTGCTCCTCCCCATCCTTCTGCTTGCTGCTCCCCCTGCTTGTGCTCACTCTCTCTGTCAAATAATTTTTTTTTTTAAATCTTAAAAAAAAAAAAAAAAGAACTTAATCTCATTTATCCTATAATGCCATTTCTGAGAGAGAACACTGCAAGAGGTCCAATAAGCTGCTATACTTTTTTGGGTCCGAACTGCAAAGACCATAAGGCACCCTCACCTAGATTGGGTGGGACTACTAACTGAGGGTCTCTAAGCGACACTACCCCATTGGCAGGAATGGTCAGGAAGAAGGAGGAAGCAAGGACATACCTATCTTAATAGGGCAGGAGTATTTCCTCCTCGTATCTGCACCCTGACGACATTCTATTCCAGAGGCACAGATTCCCATGTCAAACGTACCTATTTTTGTGAAGGGTTTCATTCAGCACAAGGTCTTCATAGCGTTGCCGAGCAAAGTTACCCCCAAAACCCAGGAAGGTCGTGACATAAACCCTATACACGTGTTCAGTATGTTGCACATCACAGCCCAGGTTGAATTCAGCCAGCAGGATCTTTGCTTCTTCTTCCTAAAATACAATGTAAAGAGAAAAAAGGGAATTTTAATTTTGGCTGATTGACAGAAAGCTATGACATCACTAATACACCAGTCTTCATGTGCTGTAACTACTCTTTTAAGATATATGATAGCGTTCTCTCATTCTCATAGCATTATTTTCAACAAAGGCAAAATGACAAGCCTATCTAAAACAGTACAGAGACTAAATACCAAATTAGAGATCACAACACTGTAGTTCTACAAAAGATAGACTCATTATTACAGATCATGTCATTTTCTTGCGTGTACTTTTCTGATTTTCTAATTCTCCAAAATGAGAATGTACTATTTTTTATCATTAGGACAAAAAAATCCTTTGATAAAAATAAATTTAAGGAATTTGGGAGAGCACCGTGATACCTATTCTTTGGGTTTTTCTAAAACTATTCAAGAAGATCTAATGTTTCCTATAACAAGGACTGGGACTGGAATAGGGAAGGTTCCGTTTTGCTGGACCTTCCATGAAAGAGGGCTCTGTTTTTTTTAACTTCAGGCACATGGGTTGAATTATACTCCTCAGAACAAGGTACATTATTATGGCAAAGCCCCATTTTTGCTTTATTTATTTACTTCCTTTTATCCTCATATTCACTCCCATTCCTGCTCCCCACAGGCAACCATTCTAATGTGCTTAATGCATAATATATGTTCGTACGTATTGTTGTAAAATGAAATTATTGTTTTGAATGTATTTAATTTATGAAGATGCTACTGTGCCCAGCAATTTCACTAAGTATATACACAAGAGGAGTGAAAACTATGACTAATCAAACATGTGTATGTGCATGTTCACAGCAGCATTATCCCTAACAGCTAAACACTGGAAATAACACCCAAAAGTCCATCAACTGATGAATGGATAAACAAAATGTGGCATGGTCATATAATGGGATATTATTCAGCAATGAAGAGAAATGGAGTACTGACTGACATGTGCTATAACAGAGATGAACCCTGAAAACATTTTGCTACGTGAAGGAAGCAGACACACACCGTCATATACTGTATGATTCGATTTATGTGAAACACTCAAAACAGGCAAATCCACAGGCGACGAGAAGCAGATTACCGGCTGTCAGGGCTCTAAGGAGAGAATGGTATGTGACTGCTACTGAATGTGGGGTTTCTTTGGGGGTAATGAATATGTTCTAGAATTCAGTAGTGGTGGTTGGGTTACTTTGTGAACGTGCGCAACTCTGTGAATTGTACAAAAAAAACCACTTTAGGCACGGAGGATTATTTGTGTCTTTTAAAGTGCTATTGTGTTATGTCTCATTGTTCTTTTCCTTCTTTACCAAGCACTAAGATCCATCTTTAAGACCATTATATTGCTATGCATTCATCTAATTTAGTGGCTTGCAAGATCACTTTCTATACCAGTGTCACTTTCTAAATCTACACAAATAAAAAAGTCATTTGTTTAAGACTTTAAGGATCAGTGCCACTTACTGGAACCATGCCTTCAGTTTACTTGTTGACTACATATTAACAAATACAGACTAAAATTAAAATGTCTTACAACCTAGTTCCCAAATTTCCAAACCTTGCACAGACCCCTGCTGCTTATCAAACCCACAGTTCCAACGATTCTTGCTGGCTATTTATACACATCTGTTCCTCAGGTATTTCAAATTCAACATACTCAAAACTGAACTCACCTGTCACAGTACTTGGGCTAGAGACCAGAAAGTCACTCTCACCCAAACCACCCAGGCCATCCTGATTTGCTTAGCATCAACCCACCCTTTACCCTGGGGTCTCTCTAGTGACTGGGTTCTTTACCCTACCAGGTATCTAGGCAGGCACCTCAGCATCACTATCTACCCCTCCCTGCCCTACCCATACCACTTCATTGCACTGGTGCTTTAAATTCCAAAATACACCTGAAATCTGTCCCCTCTACTCCATTTCCATTTCCATTGCCTAGTTTATCCCTTATTACTTCTCATCCAAGTTTCCCTGACCTACATTTCTTTCTCCCACTAATATCAAAATTATTTTCCTAACAAATCAATTAGCCCACAGTCACACGATACAAAGCTGGAAAGAACTTTGGGAATTTTATTTCACAGGTGATGAAACTGAGGCCCATATGACTGCCCTACTCAAAAATCTTTGCTGATTCTCCTCCATCTAGAGATAAAAAAGTGAAAATTCCCTAGCATGGCACCCAAGAGTCCTCACCATCTAACTTCATCTTAGCTTCCTAGACTTAGCTGTACCATATTGACAAATCTTATACCGCAACAAGCTATTCACCACTCCCTGGACATTCTGGACTCTTTGCTTCTCCTTTTGTGCCCTCGTGCATACTGGTGCCTCCATACAGGTGGCCTTCCTCCACCTCCACTATGCAAAAGCCTATTATCACCCACGACCCAGGTAACAAGCCAGGATGACTCTCATTCATGGAGCAGGGGACATGGGATGGGGACATTACTGGATCTGGTAGAGGCCAGAGATGCTGCTAAACATTTTATGCATTGGACAGCTACAACAAAGACTTAACCAGCCCAAAATGTGAATAGTACCATTGATGAGAAACCCTGGTTTAGATGAAATGATAGCACTGTCATGGTCTGTCCGTTATCACAGGCTGTCTTCACTGATAGATTATAAGCTTTTGGGGAGCAGTATAATATGTCTTTTTCCTTGCCCATAATAGGTGCTTAAAAACTGTCTGCATTTCTGGGGCACCTGGGTGGCTCAGTGGGTTAAGCCTCTGCCTTTGGCTCGGGTCATGATCTCAGGGTTCCGGGATCGAGCCCTGCATCGGGCTCTCTGCTCGGCAGGGAGCCTGCTTCCTCCTCTCTCTCTGCCTGCCTCTCTGCCTACTTGTGATCTCTATCTGTCAAATAAATAAATAAAATCTTAAAAAAAAAAAAAAACAAAAAAAACTGTCTGCATTTCTTTTTCCTCTCTGTGATAAAACTACTTCAAGATACATTCTTTACACCCTAGTCAGGTAAGGAATATTAGAAGCACAAGAATGGAATCATAAGTAAGGGAAAGGAAGTAACATTTAATAAACAAGTATGTATCAAATACCATGCTCTGGGATTTATATGTATTATCATGTTTAATCATCACGCAGCCCTAGGAGATGGGAGTATAATTACAATTGCTAAAATATATTAAACATTTATCACACACTGGTAAGTCTGTTAAGTGCTCTACACACATGGTGTCATTTCATCCTCCCAACTTTATGAAGTAGATACTATTATTATTCTTTTTATATATGAGGAAATTAAGGCTCAGAGGAGTAACCTACCCAAGGTAATATAAGCTAGCAAGTATGTGAACAAATATTTGGACCGAGGTAGGTTGGTCTATGTCCAAAGACAGTGCCCTTCTTCTTAAATACTGGCATTTCTAGCAACCGAATTTCCCTAAAAGGTAAAATACCTGTTTTGGAGGAAGGACAGAAGTTGAGGTAGGAACTTCATAAGCAATTTGAAGAGAGGCTCCTCCCATATCCAGTATCCCTACTGTCCTTCTGCGCCCTGCTGCCAGTTCCTGGGGAGCTTCGGCATCAGATTCTGAAATAAATAAGGGAACAGGAAGGATCTAGTAATTAAAAAACAAAATTAAATCAAAAAGAAAAAAAAAAAAAACCCAAAACGGAAATCCCTTAAAAAATAAAGAGCAAACGGGGCGCCTGGGTGTCTCAGTGGGTTGAGCCTCTGCCTTTGGCTCGGGTCATGATCTCAGGGTCCTGGGATCATCCCTGCATCGGGCTCTCTGCTCAGCGGGGAGCCTGCTTCCCCCCCCTCCTCTGCCTCCCTCGCTGCCTAGTTGTGATCTCTCTTTCTGCCAAATAAATAAATAAAATCTTTTTAAAAAAATAAAATAAAATAAAAATAAAGAGCAAACTGAAATATATTAATCTAACTATATCAACTATATATTATAGAGAATTCTTTCAAGTAACTTACAACAGCATTTTTACTATATCCCTTATAGAATGTATCTTAATGACAAAGAGGCAAATAGATATCTTAAACTGCATTTTAGTAGTCTTATTGGTAATAACTTTATTGGTATTATCATTTTTAAATCATTAATCATATATTATGAAATAAAGCAAATATTTATATTAGTATCTTTAGAAACATAATCAGCATAAAAAAACCTAAGAGTATAAAATCAAACATATTAAGCAATATAACTTTATATACTTATAACTTTAAATATGAATTGGAACTACCACTGTGAAATCATAATTTATTTTTCTTTTTTTTTTTTTTAAAGATTTTATTTATTTGTCAGAGAGAGAGGGAGAGAGAGCGAGCACAGGCAGACAGAATGGCAGGCAGAGGCAGAGTTGGAGAAGCAGGCTCCCTGCCGAGCAAGGAGCCCAATGCGGGACTCGATCCCAGGACGCTGGGATCATGACCTGAGCCGAAGGCAGCTGCTTAACCAACTGAGCCACCCAGGCGTCCCTATTTTTCTCTTTCTAAAAACACATATTTTCTAGGTCTGTTCACTGAAAGGGCCTAACAGCAAGGATAACCCAGGAGCAATGAGCACCCTTGGCATCCACACTACTATATACCATTTTCCAATCAAAGAAACCAGGGCTCCTTAAAAAATGGTTGTTGCTAGGTCTAAGGTAGAAAAAATACAAGATGATCATGGAATATCTTAGTGTGCCCAAAAGCAAGGGAAATAGACTACAAAACTATTGGGATGTTAAACAGTATAGGAGCCAACCTAAAGATGCCTCTACTGGCCAATGACAGTATAATTTGAGCACAGAAAAGAATAATGATGTGATGGACCATGATGCATCAAACACATTAAAATCTAAAAGTCATAAGATACTGGGGGGGGGGAACTCCACTGGTTACCTTTAACCTTTTTGTGCTAGGACATGAAGTCGTTACTAAAAACCTTGATAAGTGAAAGAAGGAAGGACTCATTTTGTCTTTCCAATAAGGATAACTGAATAATGAAGAAAGTTTTGTTATATAAAAATCCAAGTTGGGCAGTGGATGGCTCAGTGGGTTAAGTGTCTGCCTTCAGCTCAGGTCATGATCCCAAGGTCGTAGGATCGAGCCCCACATAGGACTCTCAGCTCAGCAGGGAGCCTGCTTCTCCCTCACCCTCTATCTATCATTCTGCCTACCTGTGCGCTCTCTCTGTCAAATAAATAAATAAAAATGTTAAAATATTAAAAAAAAAAAAAAAACAAGAAAAGAAAAATCCAAGCTGTTGGGGTGCCTGGGTGGCTCAGTAGGTTAATGTTGGCCTTTGGATCAGGTCATGATCCCAGGGTCCTACGGTGGAGCCTAACCAGGTTAGGCTCCCTGCTCAGTGGAGAGCCTGCTTCTCCCTCTCCCTCTGCCTCTTCCCTCTGCTTATTCTCTCTCTCTCTCAAATCTTAAAAAAAGAAAGAATAATATTTACTTTATTTATTTATTGCAGAATAACTGAAAGAATTAGAAAAATCAACATTTTGCAACCTCTAATGAAGAAAATGGATCTAAGCAACCATCACAATTGGCTATTAATTAAGTGAAAAGTGGCTGGGGAATTTTTATAGTAGATTACATCAGACTGACAGACAATACCTGAATCCTGAATATCTGATCAGTCTTAACATGACTAAAAGTGGGACAACCAGGAAACACTTAACGCCAATATTTATGATTTATTCTTGCCAGAAGAACTGAATCTCTGTCTAATCAAGGTTCTATCCCTAATCTCCAACATACTGGACGGAAGGAGGGATGAAGAGCATGTTGCAGACCCCACAAAAATGCAGTTAATCAAATCAAGAATGTGTCAAATTCATGCTATCAAGTAACCCAGTTTTGTTTTTGTTTCTAATCATTTGAGAAAAAAGAGGTTTGTTGGGGGGGGAACTGTTTTAGATTAAGAAACTGATCAAACATAACACGTGATCCTCATTCAGATTCTAATTTTAGCAAGACAACTACAAATAAATATTCTTGAGACAATAAGGTAAGTCTACACCTGGGTAGATGAATGTTACATAATATTATAAATTATTAACTTTTTTAAATTTAAAAATGCCATTGTGTATATTTTGTTTGTTTTGAAACTCTTCATTGGTGAGAGAGATACACTGAAGTACATGAAGATAAAATGGTATGTCTGGGGTTTGCTTTGAAAAATCCAATAGGAGGGGCACCCGGGTGGCTTAGACATTTAAGTATCTGACTCTTGGTTTTAGCTCAGGTCATGATCTCATGGGTCTGGAGATTGAAACCCATGTTGGGCTCCACACTCAGTGGGGAGTCTGCCTGAGATTCTCCCCCTCTACTCCTCTCCCCACTCACACTCTCTAGCTCTTGCTCTCTCTCTCAAAATAAATATATTTTTTTTAATCCAGCAGGAAAAAAAAACTGTGTTGTATAAAGGGAGTGTGGGGCCAAAAAACTAGCTAACCACAAATTAATGTTGAGTCTGGGTATTGGGTTCATGGAAATTCATTTTATTATTTGCTTCTATGAATGTTTGAACTTTCCATATTAAAAAGTTAAAAAGAAAAAAAAGAAGGCAAATTAGGACTGGAAAATAAGCATCTTAAAAGAGTTTTTAAAAACTAAAGAAAGAAAGAAAAACAACTCAAACACAGCACTTATGTTCTACAGATAGGTTACAACATAAACCTTCAGTGCTTAGAACTATCATAAGGCAACAGTATTACTCACCATCCTCATGGTCAAATCTTCCCAAAACAAAGTTGATTCCAATCCATGCATAAACTCCTAAGTAAGAAATATGAAAGTCCTCGCTTAATTCTCTGTTCTATGCCATGACTACACCTCTTCCCAGGGCTGTTCTTTTCCTCCTTTTCTTAGAAAAAGGTGATGAGAGTATTTTATTCCACACTCTCAGTGTATGAATTTAAAAATCTCATCTTATGATGCTTTTCCCTTTAATCATTTTAAAATGATCTGCATTGTCTAAATTTCCTACAGATGATTATGGATTAATGTATAAAAACAACTGGTAAAAAATGTGACTCTTGGGAGTTCTGGTCCTGGGCAAGATGGAATAAGCACACTCCATCCTGTCTCCCCACTGAATACAAGTGTAAACTCTGGATGGAATAGATAGAGATTTGTGAGACCTCTGAAAGGAAATGATAATGGGCACACGGAGACAGAGATCAGAAGTTAAAGTGCCACCAAACTGGAAGTGAGTTCCCCATTTCTCCTCCCCAGATATTGCCTGGCCTGGACTCAACAGCAGCTTGAAACACAAAAGGACATACAGGTGTGGAGGAAAGAACTTCAAGACCTTGCTTTCTGGTTCAAGGAGCATTAAAAGGGACTCTAAAAGCTCAGAAAGAATAGAGGAAAATCCTTTGAGGTTTTTTTCCCTTTTTTTTTTTTTTTTTTTTGTTCTCTGCTTCCCCAGGCAATCCTGCAGGGATAGAGGCAGAAGTTGGGCAGGTACCTAAAACTCTGAAGAACATGAATCCTTTTCTCTAACTAGAGGAGCTACAGCCTCAAGAGTTGGCAAAAATCCCTATTGGTTATTTTTCCCCCTCTGTCCTGTATCATTTAGCCCTGGCTACATCATGGAAAATGAACGGCAGAGCAGGTAAGGTAAAGTCCTGGCTTTCTGACTGGAGGACCATGAAAGTGAGCCCCAGGGAATCAGAAAGAGGAGAGGGAGGGGAAATCACAAAGAGTAGGGAATAAAGTAGTGTATCAACTCTTGGGCTCATAGTCAAGCTACACATGCATGGATCTCACTCTAAACAATATAAATACACCAAAGGTTCTGAGAACTGAACTACTGGCTAGACAACCCATTGGTATGGGCTATGCCCAGATTCTAGATTGGCCACTGGATGACACAAAAATGGGACAAATTCAAATAGCAGTGCCAACGCTTTGAAAAACAAATCAACAGAATCACAGCCAACAAAAGGTAGGTCAGAACTTGAGGCATGAACCTAACCAGGTCAATTCCCTGCTAAAACAATCAATATTCTCCTTATGACTGAAAAAAGACCCAGAATCTCATAATGTAATATTTTAAATGTCCAGGATACAATATAAAATTACTTGGCATAAAAAGAACCAGGAAATTCTCAACTCATAAGGGAAAGGATGCCAACTGCAAGAAGACACAGATGTCAGAATTATCAGACAAAAATATCAAAGCAGCTATATCATCAAGAAGTAAGAGCAGTCCTAGCATGAATGGAAAGATAGTTTCAGCAAAGAAATAAAACATACAAAAGAACCAAATGAAAATTCTAGGGCTGAAAAATGCAATACTGAAATTGAAAAAGGTAAATCTTTTCCCTTATGTGAACTATAACTAGAATGCATAGATTTTGTCTTTTTCAAGAAATGGAAACATAATTTTGTCATACGGGCCACATTTGGGCCACAAGAGAACACCCATTCAACTCCACCCCCAAACGGCAAGCTTTTAGGGACTTATCAGTACTGCACAGTAAATGCAATAAAGGGAGAGCCCATAACAAAAGAAAAATAGTGATCATCCTGATCACCCCCTAAAATTAAAGTTTCCCCATATTTTAATCTAGTAATTTGATTTACATTTGAATTTGGCAAACTCAGTAGAACTCAGAAAAGTATGTATGCTTTCGAAACTACAATTAGCTAGCAAAATATCCATTTGGAATCATCGCTAAATACTAATACCTTCTTTTTTTTAAAAATTTAATTTTTCAGTGTTACAAGATTTAGTGACATCACAGAATCTCTTAGGGCAGAAGTAAGAGCTGACCTGGCAGAAGTTAAAAATGCTATCAATGAGATCCAATCTAATCTAAAACTCTAACAGGTAGGGGGTAACCGAGGCAGAAGAGGGAATTAGTGATCTAGAGGACAAACTGATAGAGAAAAAGGGTCAAGAGGAGGCCTGGAACAAACAGCTTAGAAGCCATGGAAACAGAATTAGGGAAATAAATGACGCCATGAAACGTTCCAACATCAGAATTATTGGGATCCCTGAGGGGGTGGAGAGAGAGAAGACTAGAAGATATAGTTGAACAAATTCTGGATAAGAATTTCCCCAATCTGGGGAATACAAAAAGCGTTTGTGTCCTGGAGGCAGAAAGGATACCCACCAAGATCAACAAGTCTAGAAAGACCACAAGACGCTTGATTGTGAAACTCACGAATCATATTTTTAGACAAGAACTTCTAAGGGCAGCTAGGGGAAAAAGATTCCTTATGTGCAGAGGAAGGTCCATCAGAATAACGTCAGACCTATCCACAGAAACCTGGCAACCATACAAGGCTAGCAAGACATATTCGGGGCACTAAATGAGAAGAACATGCAGCCAAGAATACTTTATCCAGCAAGGATGACATTTAAAATGGATGGAGAGATAAAGAGCTTCCAAGACCAGCAAGGTTTAAAAGAGTGTGTGATCACCAAGCCGGCACTAAAAGAAATCTTAAGGGGGGGGTTCTATAAAGGAAGAAAGAACCCAAGAGTGACATAGAACAGAAATTCACAATCTATAGAAACAAGGACTTCACAGGCAACATGATATCAATAAAAACGTATCTTTCAATGATCACTCTAAATGTGAACAGCCTAAATGCTCCCATAAAATGGCACAAGGTTGCAGACTGGATAAAACGACGGGACCCATCCATATGCTGTCTACAAGAGACACACGTGGAACCTAAAGATACATCCAGACTGAAAGTGAAGGGATGGAGAAGCATCTTTCATGCCAATAGGCCTCAAAAGAAAGCTGGGGTAGTGATTAATTAGATTTTAACTAAATTAAAACAGACAAATTAGATTTTAAACTAAAGACTGCAGTCAGATTTATAGAAGGACACTACATCATTCTTAAAGGGTCTAACCACCAAGAAAATCTAATACCTTTATAAACATAGTACTTAGCACAAAGTTAAAAACAAATATAAACACAGGACTTCTAGAAGCAGGATTCTTTTTTTCCCATTGTAAAAAAATTTAAATTCAATTAATTAAAATATAGAGTATTCATTTCAGAGGCAGAGTTCAGTGATTCATCAGTCTTATGTAACACCCAGTGCTCATTACATCACATGCCCTCCTTAATGTCCATCACCCACCTCCCCTCTAAAAGCAGCATTCTAAAACAGATACTAATGCAGAATATGCAAATAATAACTAAAAAACTATACAGCAGAATCAAGAAAATTAATCGAAGGAAAGTAAATATCAAATATATAAAGTAATCCAAAAAAAAAATATATATATATATATATATAAAGTAATCCTAAACCCCCACCAGAGAGACTATGCCATGGTTGGCTGGGAGCCAAACCAGGGTGCCCCTTGAGGCCCATTACCTTCCTGCTTCCCAGAGATCACTTCTGCCTGAGACTGAGAAAAGAGGAAGTCAAACTCCAGCGGTAAATCTCTCACTAGATCAGCCAAGATAGCTAGCTGCTTTCTGCAAGAAAGAAAAAACATATAAAAGTTAATCGTTAAACACTCTTCTCACAATTAGCTTCAACTTGAGCTTCTACTCAGACTTGTTACAACTCACTGCTCATATAGCCATCCATCAGTTGAGCCCTACATCTTTCTTGTACCTTCTTTGATTTCAAAGGTTTAAACATATCCTCCTACCTAAAGAGTAATGTGGTACTAGTAATACTTTCCCTTTTTATAATTTTATGATTCGTATAGCGTTAAAAGATGAGACCGTGGTTCTGTGCCTCTCACAGGCTGAATACGTATAAGTGGCAGGAAGCACGGTTTCATAATTACATGATCCCTAACTACTGTGAACAGAAGCTGTTAGACTGAGGAACACAATCTCATCCTCAGCTCTTACATAATACAGAAACAACACCTCAAGTCACCACACGACGAGCACTGTTAGGTCCACAAGTTTTTAATAATCCTTTACACAAGCTGACAATGAACTTTTTAATCTCCCTTTATCTATTTCAAGGGTTGGTTTTTTTTTTTCTTTCTTTATAAAAAATCTTATCATTTGAAAAACCCAGATCAGGATCAAAATCCAAAGGTTATAACAATTTGGGGACAAAGTTTTGAGTCTTATTATCTAAGGTTGTTTTTGCCTCTAAACTTTTGTGTTATCCGTGTTATTAAAGAGAAGCAAAGAAACAAAGCTAGAATTAATAATGTGAATCTAGAGAATATGGTTAAAAATAAGAGCAATCATCCTGGATTTTTTAAATTACTCATTACAAAAATATTCCATTGGCTCAGATAGTTGTTGGCATGACTTAGTGGAGAATGTTAACACTTAAAAGTGAAGAATACATTTAAAGTAATAATTTCCCAGTATACTGTCAAATATAGTTTACAAAAAAGCTCATTGTTATACGTATTAAATTCCTGCAATAAGAATTTTGCATGTGTAATAAGAGGGACTATTTTGCCCTCCCTATTGGATAAGCTTCTAAAATACCCAAAGAAGAAGGCTTGTTGGTTTTGGCAAGGATTTGGAAGAAGAGGCACCAGTATACACTGCTGTCTGGAATACAAATTCCTGGTATGATGTTTCCAAGAGCAATCCAAGCCTATGTGTCCACATTTTTAATGTGCTTAACCCTGGACCAGCTATTACACTTTTAGAAATGTATTGCAGGGGCGCCTGGGTGGCTCAGTGGGTTAAAGCCTCTGCCTTCGGCTCAGGTCATGATCTCAGGGTCCTGGGATCAAGCCCCGCATCGGGCTCTCTGCTCAGCAGGAAGCCTGCTTCCCCCTCTCTCTGCCTGCTTCTCTGCCTACTTGTGATCTCTGTCTGTCAAATAAATAAATAAAATCTTTAAAAAAAAATGTATTGCAAGGAAATCATCAGATAAGAATACAAAAAGGAGAGAACATTGCAGCACTATTTGTAGCAGTGAAAAAGTGAAAATAACCTAAACGCACATCATTAGGTATTGGTTAAATAACCTGTGGTATATCCACACGGTGTGATACTAGACAGATGTTAAAAGAAATGAGGTCGATATAGATCTGTATGTACTGGCGTGAAAAGCTGTCCAATATATTCTGAGTTCTAATAGGTTATTAAACAATACATGTGTGACCCCAATTTATAATAAATATATATATAATGTGACCCCAATTTATATTAAACAATGAAACAAAAAAATTCTTCATGTACTGCACAGGACTCTCTAAAATTCAATTATTGTTTCTTTATTAAAGAAAAACTTTCAGTGGCAAAATATTGGTAATTGTTAAGCTGGGTGGGTAAGAAAATACAGATTCATCATGCTGTTTTGTTTTTTTTAATGTTTGAAATTTTCCATAACAAAAGTTTTCTTTCCCCTTAAATATCACCTTATACTATATTTGTAGTTTTTTAAAGATATTTCCATTACAAAATGAAAACGAGGTAAAACAAGTTGTTAGTTCAGGTTATTTCTTTGGCAAAGAAATAAAACCTAGTGCTAATACATTTCAAAATTACAGTCCCTGTAATTTGAACCCATTTTGAATACTGCTCACAAACACTAATAAATTAGCAAAGCATCAAATATACAAAACAGGTTCTTGCAGTGATGGTTACATTTATGTCAACAACTATGGCTGCCTCAATTGCTAGCAATGATTTCAGAAGCCCAGGATAGATCCAGGCATTATTAGATGAGGTGATCAGAAGGCAAGTTAAAATGCAAGCTCTTCACAAATACTTAAGATAAAAGAAATATTAATATTCAGAGCTTCCATGCAGTGAACATCTTGCCAAATGGAATGGAGCTACATAGTGGGTTTTCCCCAGATGGAAACTTCTTTGACAGAGTCAGTGCTGAGCGGTGTCAAACAATGAGACAATCCTCTTTGCTTCAGACCCCCAAAACATGGCTAAACCATCATCCTCCTGGTTGGCTCTGCCTTTCTGACTTCTGAGTTAGCTTTTTCTCTGGCCATCCTCCCCCTTGCTCCTCTCTGTTGACTGTAGACCACTCACAGACCTGTGATGTGGCATCCCTGTGTCACCTCTACTCTTCCCAGGATTTCTAAATTTTGAACTATATGAATATTACTTACGGCAAAACGAAAAATCCTAAATTGCATGTACAGTATGGTTACGACCTTGTAGAAACTACATATAGATGTACAGAGAGAAGGCAATGTGACAAAATGAAACACTTTTGAAAGAGCAGCAGGAATGTAAGTGTTTGGGGTTTGTTTTGTTTTATTTTTAAGATTTCTTTAATGCAGCTATAATATTTTAAAATTTGGTTTTAAAAATAAAAACAAGACAAAAATTTCTTAAAGGTCAAGATAAATGGAAAAATAAGGGGCTAGAAGAGCTCTCATTTCCACAAATGGCTATATAATCTCCTCCTCAACTGCAGACCAGACAGTAAACCAGTAACCTCGTGTCTAAACGAAGTCCACTGCAACAACTGTGGACATGTGTTTTCTGGCTCATCTGGCATAAGCCGTATGAAGTCCTACATTCATGGCTGAGGTTTTTGTTGTTGCTGGCCAAGCATACAGAACAAAACTTCCTCGAAAAGGTTACTGTTATTTACCAAGAATAAAATATTTAAGCTAATTAAAAAACACCTGATGCCTGTGAGACTTAGAGCATTCCAAGAGGACAAATTCTAAGGTTAAGGAAGGTCACTCCCACCCCATGACCATAAGTCTGCAGGGGTCAGAGAGGTGTCGAAGGGGAGAAATCACAAACAAGAAGGGGTGTCACCTAAGTATAGCCAGAGAAGGAAGAGGGATCAGGTGGCAAGATCCTGGGCTAAACTACCAAAGCCAAGTAGACACTGGACTGGTTGGGATGGAAAAAGCTAGTCTAAAGCAATGGAGACTGAGCTTTGCAAGCAGCACCAACTATCACCAGGGAGCCAGGCAGTTGCAGACAGAGCAGCATTCCTACCAGAGCCTCTCCTACTGGCCTCCAGGTACCCAGTCACTCAGATGAACCTCCTACAGCCCTTCTCTAACTATGTTCCCCATCTAGTGATCCCAAGTTACCACCATCACCATTGCTTCTCAATCAAAACTAATAATCATTACAGCCATCTCAGATAGATATCGATCCCAAAGAAGCAAGTGACACGAAGCTCTGAACAACAGATTGTGAAATAATGATGTGCGGAGGTGGCTCTGCTCTATTTTGAGCAAGGAGCCTTTTACTGCCTGCCACCTGCCAGCTCTGTGTGATATATCCCCAGCCCACCTTCAGACCAGGGAGCTACAGAGAACAATGTGTAGAAATCAGTCTTGTGGGGCGCCTGGGTGGCTCAGCCGTTAAGCAGCTGCCTTCGGCTCAGGTCATGATCCCAGAGTCCTAGGATTGAGCCCCGCATTGGGCTCTCTGCTCAGCGGGGAGCCTGCTTATCCCTCTCGCACTCCCCCTGCTTGTGTTCCTTCTCTCGCCATCTTTTTCTCTCTGTCAAATAAATAAATAAAATCTTCAAAAAAAAAAAAAAAATAGAATCAGTCTTGCAACTCTTGTACCAGCCATTTTCCTGCGTCCAGACCCCAGCCCTCACCTCTCGGGGAGAAGCCGCATGCCTGCAGTGCAGAGGATGTAGAGGGGTGTCTCCTTGTGCTTCTTCACAGGCACGTGCGCAGCAGCAAAGCTCAGCAGAGGACGAAGGTAATCACTGGCATGTTCTGGGGTGTCTGCCATTGCAGAAATTCCTTAAGCAAGACAAAATATTTTAAAAAGCAGATCACATTGACTCAGAAGACTGATATGCCATGAAGTTCTGCTTAAGGTCCTAAACACGTAATTATTTGTGAGGATGGGAGCAGCAACGAAGGAGATATCCCTTCCATTATCCAGAATCTCAAGGGAAAAAAAGGTTTTTTTCTGCCTCTTTCCTTCTGCCTCTTCCTTCCTCTCTCATGCCTGCAGCAGATAAAAAGAGACTGACAACGAAATATATTCCAATTAGTACCTGGCTTGATTTTTTTAACGACTGGCTGGCTGTTGCGGTCTCTCATCTGTTTGATGTCCAGCAAATCATGGGGGTTGCCATTATGTCTTGGCCAGAAATAAACAAAAATCCGGGAGCCACTGCTGCCACAGTCCACAACAAGTCCATAATTCAGAGTTGGGTCTGCAGTGTCAGTCGCTTCAAGCTCCCCGACTCGTGCCAAATACCTACGCCAGGCAGAAAGAGAAATTGGTATCAAGCATCCAGGTCCACAAAAGGCACCACTACTTTAATTCATTTGTTCATTAGTCTTCATTAACTGTCTATATGTGCCAACCACATGGAACCACAAGTCTCAAGGAATGAAACAACACTGACCATAGTTACTGATGGATATGTATGAGGCAACAGCTGGTTCGCTCGCCTAGAGGCCACTGGAATCAGACTAAAAGACTCCTCCATGTCTGGAGGCAGTTCTGAAACTAGCTGAAGTACCAAATCTTTTACCAACTTTAAAGAGTTTCTAGGCCTGAGTAAATTACGGTTTTTGTTGTTATAAGCCACTAAGATTCAGGGCAGTTTGTTACACACATTGATTAACTAAATGAATCCTAATAATTTCTCTTCATCTTTTCTGTATCTAAAGAATACTTTGGAATGATTATCACTTAATACGTGTTTCTAGGTGGTAAAAATTTATGGGGCTTTTTGCTTTGTATTTTTTAGTGCTAGACTTGCATTAACGAAAAATGTATTTTAAAATACTATATTCTTCTCTACAATCTTTTAAACTATTTTTTAGTCATAGAAAGAAGGTTTATAGTGTATGTATAAGTAATAACAATAAGACAATGCCTCTGTGCCCAACACCCAGTTTAAAATATAAAACATTATACTGCTTCAAAAAAAAAAAACACCAAAAAGCTTCTAGGCCCAAGGACAGCAGTACTTTGTGGTGGGATTTTTTTCAGATTCTTATTACAAGATATTTATTTGGCTGACAGCAGAAAGATGAAACAAGTGAAGATGTTACCATCAGAACACCAAGGTTTGAATCTCAGCTCTAGCACTTTCTATGCTGTGTGACCTTCAGCAAGTTACTTAACTTCTCTCAGACTGTTTTCTCATCTGTAAAATAAGAGTATGAGAGTGCTGAGTGGTTAGCTCACCGCTGTGCTGCCGCTGCTCTTGCTGTTATGTGATGAGTATTGGGAGGGCAAATAATAGAAGACTCTCGGGAGAAAAGGGCAGGAAAGTCCAGAAGGAAAGAAGTCTAAGGGTTGGTAAAAATGATTCTGAACTCTGAGTCTTTAATAAACATTAAAGTTCACTCAGAACCTGAGGGTCTGAAAAGTACAAATATTATCAACTCCTCTTCAAAAGCTTCACTTGAAGGGGAGCTCAGGAAGAACAGCTCTTAGCTTATTATATGGAAAAAGAGCTGTTTCTCAGTGCTACGAATATATACTACATGGCAGACAGATTCAAATGTCTTCAAAATTCCTTTAAATGTGATTAAGTATTACTATACGTTGAGATAATAGATGAATAAATGCTCTGAAAGCAGTGCTGTGAATTTTTTCAAGTATCACAGCTGAACAATCTTCCTTCTATCTGCCCTAGTCACCCAACACTATATTTAGAGCTAATTCCTAGATCCCCTAGACCCTTACACAGAAGCCCTCAGAACTAGGTTTTGTAAAGCCTGAAGCCAGTGCCAATGGAGAGGTGTTCTTTTTAAAGAAAGATTCAACATTACAAATGCAAAAGGAGTCCACACATGCCTGGGGCCTTGAAGTATACGTATCAATAGCTCTGCAGGAAATCTACCTCTGATTAGGCAATAAGCCACATGTCCCACCCCTGAGGACATTCTAGTCCATGTTTACTGGTGATTTCACATTGCTATGAAGACCACAGAATTCCCTACTTTGGACAGAAAAGCAAACTCGATGAATAGATGACCATGTAGAAACTGTGGAAAGAAAAAAAGGGAGCTAAGTACCTTTCCTAAGGTACAATACAAAATAAAGGAAGAACATGTATTTGGGCTCCAATATAATGCTGCAAATTATTACATAGATACGGTCAGGCAGAACTTTTTTCTGAATCCAACATCACAGTGAGTTATGGGAAATGAAGCAGGTGGTAAAAACTGTTACAGTCTAGTCCATTTACAGTCCCCAAAACCACATACTTACCCACTCTGATCAAATGACTGGGCTGAACTGGGTTTATAATCCACAAATCAACTCAGGACAGCTCATTGCTATCACATGAAAGGTGGGAAAATATCTGGGTTCAAGTTACAGAACTTGTGCAAATACTGATCTCATAGCACGCCATATGCAAGATAAGCAATCTCTCGCCCATAGTGACTTTTCATTTCTCATTTTAGCCATCTTTCTACTTCATATGCTTCACAGATCCTTCTCTGCTTTCCCCCTCTGAAAATCTTCCCCTCTACTTTTCTCACTAGATTCTGAATCCCATTCCCTCCTGCTTAATGAATAACTTTTCTCCAGTTCATTGGTTCTCAAATGTTTGGGGCTCAAGACCCTTTACTAAAAATTATTGGATCCAAAAGAGTTTTTGTTTATGTGGGTTCCATCTATTTATATTTATCATGTTACAAAATAAAACAGAAACATTTTTAGAATTTATTAATTTAGATATAACAATAAACTCATTACATATTAATATATTTTATAAAAATAACTTTTTTAAAACAAAACCCAGGAGAGTGGCACTGTCTTATGGTCTGACGCATCTCTTTAGTGTGTAGATTAATAGAAGACAGCTAGATTCTCATTATTTGCCTCTGTATTCCATCTGTTACAATATGTTGTGTTGGCTGAAGTATTTCAAAAAGTCCAGCTTCGTGGAGACATGTTATTGGAAAAGGGAATACTTTTAAGAGACCATTTAGATCACTGGGCATAGTCTTCTTTAATACTACACTAAAACTCAAGAAGTGAAGTTTCTTAAAGGCTAGTTGCAACATGAAATCTAAAACCCTATCGAAGAACGTTTCATACTCTATAAAGTTAACCATCGGTCTATCTTACACTTTGAATGACTTTTATCCCTGCATAATTTTGTAACATCCTATACTCAAAAATACTGGTTCACTGAGGATGCAAATCTTCCCAATATTGACACATTTCATTCTACAGTATTAAAAATAAACAAAACCCACACACTCATTCATTAGTATCACTACCCATTATCCAAAAAAAGGCATTTAAGTATTGAGAAGCTAGCAAACACATAGTTGCAGACACAAATTTTCCAAACTGCTAATTTTCAGCTGAAAGCTCAAATTTTATCATTGGCAATAAACACTGACAGTTGTTTTCCTTAAAGTGACAGGCTTTTACTTCATTTGTTTTCAAAAAAAAAATCTATGAAATATCCAAGTCTGAAAACCATAGCTTTTCTGGTAGTCATCCTTTCAAGTAAAAATAATATTCCATGATAAAAGCAGTTCATAACCCAAACAACTGCCTAAGGGCTTTTCCTCAAGAAAACTCCAGTATGCATCAGAAGTGCTTAATACGTATTTCCAATTCTGTCACACAGAATATGAAAAAGACATTCTTAAATGGAACTGGAATTTTTTTCCCCATTACAATTATGTGACAATGATGATTACAATAATTAATAGCATAATTTGGTGCCTTCATCGTGATTTGTGCTAAGGCACCTGCAGTTTTACCTACCCGTTGCTTTGCATCATTAGTATAAATGTCAACTCAGTGAAAAGGGCAAAAAAAACACCACAGTAGCCAAGAGGTAGAAACAACATAAATATCCACGGACAGATGAATAAACAAAATGTGGTGTATACATAAAATGGAATATTATTCAGCCTTAAAAGAGAAGGAAACTTCGTCTTATGCTACGATATGGGTGAATCTTGAGGTTATCGTGCTACATAAAACGAGCCAGTCACAAAAGACAAATACCTAATGGTTCCACTTATATAAGAGTAAAGCAGCCATATTCATCAAAACAGAAAACAGAATAGTGGCTACCAGGAGTTGGCGTGGGGAAGGAAAAAAGGGGAGATGTTGTTCAATGGGCAGAGAATTCAGAATTGCAAGATGAACAAGTTCTGGAGTTTGGTTGAATGACAATGTGAATATAGTTAACACTACTGAACTGTATATTAAAAGTGGTTGAGATGGTAATTTTATGTTATGTGTTTCTTAGCAATTAAAAAAAGAGAAAATAACATCTTAGTAGGTATTACAAAAACAGTTTTGGCCGAATTTTGAACTCACAGACACCATGAAAGGGTCTCAGGAACTCCCAAGGGTCAGTAAACACTTTGACAACCGCTGCTCTAACCTTCTTTTTCTCTGGAACATCCATCTGCTTCTCCACCTATCTCTCCCCCTTTCCTTCTTTGACATGGCTTCCCAGTTCTTAAGAAGCCTCCACTCAACAATGCTGACACTTGTAATACTCACAATGATTTGGAAAGGCCTCCTTCTTCTGTTTTAAAATGTGGAGTGTCATTATTCCCTTTAAGCAGTTTGTTTATATTCCAGTATGAGCCCCTAAGACTTCTTTCGTATTTCTTTGTTTCACCTTTGCATTTCTCAAGCGCAAAAACCTTAACCCGCAGTATATCCGAACTGTCACGGTATTCTTCACGTTTCTCTGACATGTACCAACCAACACTGGCTGGTTTGGTCCAGAGCTCACAATATAGAGCTGTGCATTTGTTAACTCCTCTATGTCTTTGTTAGCTGTCTAGCTATACATATTCAAAATCAATTGGTCTCCTCAGAAAATTTCAATGGCTTTTTAAAGCATCCTGTCATGCTCCTGGGTTCCTGTCAAGATAAGCAACTCTAAGTTGGGTCCAAGTCAACTTTGCTTTCTCATCTCTTAGAAGTCTCCCTGTGTGCATTAGTCACAAATGTCAGCTGACCTTTGAACACAAGGGTGAAAGCTAGAACCAGACAGCATTTATGTTACACTTCCCACTTGAGTCTTTGCTTAATGGCTGCAGTCACCAGGAAGCCTCCATCTTTCTCATCATGCAAACAAATGAGTTACTGAAGAACAATTTTCCCCTTTGGGAAGTAATAGCATCGCCTCTTCCTAAAACTTGGATGTCTAATGATCTAACCAGGCTTCTTACAGTTTTCAAACACCTGGGGGTCTTCCTCTGTCCAAGCTCCTGACATGAATGGATCAATGGTCCTTTCCTGGA